AATAATTTTATCAAAATATTAATAAGAGTATAACAGAATCTTATTATCTGAAATATAAAATTTTGTAAAGATTAATAAATTTCATAATTGGTCAACCCGTCATAACTGCAACTAAGTTAATTAAAATGTAATTTTAGAAATTTTATAGGGGAACATTTAATCTTATCTTATCATTAATAATATTGAAATGCCAATTTTTCATTTTTACGGATGATCTTGATATACTTGACTTAGGAACAAACTTTTCATATAAATTTGACATAATTACGAAATTAAAAGTGCAAGTGCTTCATGATGTATCATTATCATTAATCAATAATACGCTTATTATTTATAATGAAACAGTGATATGTGATGCATGTACATGTGTGTATATGAGCGCTTTTGATTAATTTATCGGTACACGTTACACGTATAAGCACGCGCTTTTATATAATGTATTGAAACTTAATTAACTTCTTAATGTGGGAGGAAGGAGGGAGGATGACGCAACGCCATGTATGTAGCGTCGCGTAAGATTTCGCGCGTCGGGTTAGATAACGGGACAACCGTCGTCATTATCATCGTTGTGTTCGAACAACGAATACCTATTCCACGCGAATAGTCTTTCGCGAGATCTAAGAAGAAAAAGATTAGCGGATTGCACAATTTGGCGCGTGATCGCAACTTGATGGATAGATAGAGAAAGAGAGAGAAAGAGGGAGGTAGAATGTGCGCTCCAACGTTCTAATGTATATGCGTTATGGTTGCAAGCGAGTATCCGCGATTTATACAGATACGCGACATGCTCGTTAGTGCTATTCAACGTCATTCATTTTTAATTGATATAGACCAATATTTGCTTCCAATTATTTGTATCGCCAACTATAGCCATTAATCGTATAATATGATTAAACATATATATATATACAATATTAATATAATAAACACGTAATATTATCACTTAATTTTTTTTTTCTCGTAAACGATAGCAAATGATTAACTTCTTGGTAGCGTTGTCGTTTTCTTCGGACAAAGTGTATAGTTTAGATCCGGTTCCGCGAGCGGAATACGTGAGACGAACGTCTCGTTGCCTGCATAATTGATGATATGAAAATATCAGCAAAATACCGGCAAAGATGCGTTGGCTGTGTACCAGGAACAAATGCATCATGCGATTAATTAGAATAAAGATACAATGAAATCATTGATTCATTCAGCATTCTTCCATTTACAATGTATTAAAATTAGTTATTTGTATGAGAGGTTTCGTTGCTATGATATGTGTCATTACTAAAACTGCCGTTTTAACCATCCATAATGACGCTAGTAATATGAGATAAACTCATCCAGTGATGTCAAATTTGTTAGTATTAAAGATGCCGCATGATTCGTAGCATTCGTTATGCC